ATAATTCTGGTTTTAATTCAATGAATTCTTCAAGAAAATTTTGGATATCTTAAACTTGGAGTGTTGCATAACATGAAACAAGTCATAGATGAAAAGTAACTGTTTTTCTATAAAGACTATAAACATGTTAGTTATGCAACTTACATTGCATCATTCACAACTAATATTTCCACAGATCTACATGTTTATACACTATATTCCATCAAGATTCCAAAATTTGTCAGTTTTCAAATCCTGACAGCTTACAGAGTATTCTTTGGCTTTGACCACAAAAATTTTTTTTTTTAAAACAAAAAACTTTACAAACCATTTCTGACACATGCTTGCATCTACTGCATCATAACAATGAACTCTAAAAACCCCTTGCCAACCTTTCACTGCAATTTTTCACCAGTTTAAACATGAAGTATGAACTGTGTTGAATGTATATTTTATAGTCGACCATGATTTTCACCAAAATTATATTATCATTTTTCTCACAAATGATTCTTAAAAAGAATTAATGCACAAACATTAAAGAGATAAATAGACTTCAAAAACACTTCTCAAATTTCCCTAATATGGATGGTAATGCAAACTTTTGTATCTACCTAATAATTTCAATATAAAAATTTAAGTCCATAAATGCTAAAACTAAAATAGTTTGACATAAAATCCAATTCCCGACTTTGTAATTTCTCTCTCTCCTTTCTTCCATAATAAAATTGACTGAGAATCTGATGTTAAACACAAGAAAATATTTCATAATAATTTTGTCTTACAAAAAATCAAGTTTTTTGGGGTTTTTTTTTTTACAAATTATTGAAAGAAATTTATTTTCATGTCTACACAATACATATTACTTTTAATGTTAGCCATTACACACACACATTTAGAATTGATTTTTTATTAATCTGACAGGTTTTTATCATGTTAAACATTATTTTTAGTGGATACTTGTATTTGAGAAGGTGCACCATTTATCCTCTTTGCTTACTCAAATATGAGTATCCACTATATATATATATATATATATATATATATATATATATATATATATATATATAGATAGATAGATAGATAGAGAGAGAGAGATAAATTGATAACTACCTCTTATTTTGATAATTTCCAAAAGAGAATAAGTTATTTCATTTTAGTACCTCTTATCAAAGTTACTTTTTTATTGAAGCCAACATTAACTTTTCCTGATTAAAGTTGCTTTATCATTCTTTGTTTTTAATAAAACAAAAACAGTTGATTAAAGGCAAAAAGTTAAATTTTCTGCTGCAAAATTAAAATAAAAGGTAACTTGTGAGTAAAATCTTTTTCTGAAAAACATTCTACTTGGTACTAACAGAAAAGTCAGAGTTTATAAATTCTAAAGCCTAACATGAAATCAGGAGGGGGGAGTGACTTCAAACCTAACAAAAGTTACTGACAAGTGTACAAAGGATGCTCTGAAAGTAATGCCTATTATTTCATTATGTTAGCCCACAATATTATTAACAGTATGGTAGGAAAAGTTGAACATTACCCCGACTCCTGCAGTAACCCATAAATGTTTTATGCCTGTAAATAATAGGCAAAATGGCTTTGATTGATTTGTTTTTACAGGTTATTTAAAGCTAGAAAATATTTTTAGATTTTAAGTATTTTCTGGAGATAAATTTTACTGATAAATGTCCTACTAATTAACCCATAGGTGGATGTAGAAGAGGTAGATCCATACCTTTCCCAAGGGTAATTGTGCATAAGTGAACATAATGAACAAGACTTGGAATTGGAACTCAACTCTCCAATTTCCAATTCTGAGCTGTTATACATTACCCCAACCACACATCCAAGCTTACAGCAACTGGTATTCTCAAGTGGCCATCCAACTAGGTACTAACCAGACTTAATGTTACTTAACTTTGGGGGTCTTACAGGAACTAGTGTTTCAACATGATATAGCTGTAAGCCAGGCAAAATGGCATCAGACATGAAAATATAAAGCAGATATGTATCACTAAATTCCCCCATGTGGAGAAAATTGCACCTATTGGTATTCATTGCCATTGGCTAAATATTTATAGATAGCTAGTGGATAGCCATCCTGAAAATAACTCACGAACGCCATAGCCAAAACTGCCCAAATTTTCCTTCCCCGAGTCGACAACACCAACTGCTTTCATCGGCAGAACCTATTTTTTCCATTCGTCGACAGCCGGGATAGGATGCTCCATAATTTGCATATTAATATACTCTTATAGCGACTCCTGCGACGGACTTGTTTCTTTTTAGTCACAGAATACACACGACGCGCTGTTGCTTGGGTTGACGAGGTAAGTCGCTATAAGAGTTTTGCTGACTACTTTTTGGCAATCCCTCCCCGGCAAATCGCACACAAAACACAAACTTTTTTCCAGGGTACTTGATTATCTCGTTCACTACACATCCACATTCTGGATGGCTATGCACAGGATCTTGTCCATTACTGGTGAAAATACATATAGCCAATAATGGTGCGTACTGTATAGGAAAATAGAGTTTTGGAGCTAAATATCTGCTTTATCCAACAGTTTTATTGTGCTCCCTGTATCTGTTGTAGGTTCCAGATAAATAGATTTATTAAAAATACAATTTATATTTCAAACACTTCTACAACAAAAGTTTAAGATGAAAAACTTACAGACAAATTTTATATACCATTGTGGTGATGAAGATGTACAATAATTAGGCATATTTTGGTGGGAAAGAATGAAGAAAATATTTTAAAATGTAAGAATTAAACATAGAAAAAATCAGTAGCATTATCTTAACCAAAGATCAATATTCTTTTACAGAATACAATCAATTTCACCTGAGTTGAGGTAAAATAAGTCAGTAAATTAAAAAGAAGAAAAATGTCAACTGAATTACTTCCCTCATGTTTGTAATAATAAACATTTGAAAAATGACTTCCTTGGTGTGTGAGGTAGTTGTGTATTTCCTCGTCTGTGGCTAGAACTTTGAAGTGATTTTTAAGGTGGTTATTTTCCTAAAATTTGGCTTTATGCCAGATTAAAATGAGTTTAGTAAATTTATATGTCTGTGTGTGTCTCATTATGTTAAACACTGGTAAACTATTTTTTCTAATAAATAATACAAAAAAAAATTGAGCCATTTGTCTCTAAGTATTAAGTGTAAATATTTAAGTTGGACCCAGAAATCTTGTATGAAACTTGACTAGGTCAATTGTCATGTCTGTATAGAGATCTCAGTTCTAGATTGATGACCAGAGATCAACAAGGTTAATTTCATATAGCAACATAGCTTACCAAAAAGTCCCAATAAAAACACCACTCTCACACATGAATCATTGGCTACTTTCTCTTAAAGAAAAAAAGAAAAAAGTGGCTATTGTCATCACACACTAGTGCACTGTCACAAATTAATCATTAAATAAAAGGTACAAAAACAGAAATGACAAAAACATTTATGCATCTAGAAAAAAAAGTCTTTTCTTCAAATATGTGCATTGAAATTTGAACAAAGTAGCTCATTGTTAATTGTAGGTCAGGATTAACACAGATATGAAATTTCACAAAACCGTATCAAAATAGCTGAACTGTAGAACATCAAACAAAGAGTTTTTATTTATGCAAGACACATTAGAATGCAAATACCCTTTATGTGATTCTTCAAGCGAGGTTAAAACCACCAAGATATTGTCTTTTCATTGGTATGCAGTTTCTTAGAGTTAGTTTTCTATTTGATACAAATCTGCTAATTGAGAAGAAGGACAATACTGTCTACTAAGGGAAGCAACTCTTGCTTATGAAGATTAGTTTCCATTCAGTGAACACATTTCTAATCGTGACTAATGTTCACGTGGATTATTCAACCATATATACAATATCATACAAATACCAACCCATCAGGATAATAGACACACAAATATACACACAGAGCTTTATAAGTTGCAGCAGTAACAAAATTCTGAATGATATATTTTGTAATGGATGATGTAAAAATAGATTTAATTTGGTCTTTGTATAAAAATGTTCAGTATAGAATGAATGTAGATGTTATTTCATTAACAAGAAAAACTAAAGACAAGTTCTCATTTGACTTTGTTTTCCTTGTGATGATAACATTGATAAATATTGACAAGTAAAACTTAGAAATATGCAAAAAGACTGATAACAGTAAAGCTTTCCTGTTTGGCTTTTTAGCAAGCATTCCAAAGAATCTTAAGCAGCATTCAACATGGAAAATAATAGTCTACATAATAAAGATGTTGATTGTTAAGAATTTCAAAAATTATTCAACTGGACTGTATTTATGATTCACTAGAGAAATGACCAAATGTAAACATAAATAATAAATTTTAAAAATCTGAGAATATTAGACAAAATATCCAAAATGATTTATTAAAAAAAATTATTTTTTTTGCATTAGAACTTAAAATTATTAACCTATCAAAGATCATTTTTTTTATTCTTGCTAATAAAGTCAGCAAAAAGTTTTAGCAAAGAAAATTATTTGCTGCTTCGAGTAAACTGTAAACACCAAGTCTGGTTTTAAAAATATGAAATTTACCTTAATTATTGGATAGATATGAAAAGTTTATATAAAAATAAAGAAAAAGTATTTTTAAAATGAAAATTATTCTTCAAATGTAAAAGGAAGTTTAAACAAATTGTAGCAAACATTTACACGTCCAACAAAAGCAGTCAAGCATACAAAATCACTTTTCTCACTGAACAAGTAAGCAAAATTATTTGATCAATAGATATATGACATTCACATTACAAAGCTACCAAGCGTAAAGTGATAATCATTAGTCTTGCAGGCCATTGTTAAAAAGTTGATCCTTTTTTTTTTTTTATTGTAAACTTGTCTCAAACTAAGTAAATATCTACATTTCTGTTGCAAAGTGTCCCTATTGCTGTATGGACCATTGAGGCTCAAACTGACCGATATCAAGCTGTATGTTGGTCTTGAAATAAAAAGAAATGGTACAAGTGAAATCAAAGGGTCCAAACATCAATACTTACCTGGAAACTGTGATTAATGTTTTTGGTGCTACATTCAGCAACACTGAAACCAGTGAGGTCAATTTCATCAAAAATTGTAAACTAGAAAGAAAGGAAACAGATCACTTTATAAAAAATCAGTTGGTAAATAAAAGGTGTGATGAGAGAAATGTGCCTCTAATAATTGTTCTCTATATCCAAATGGAAAAGTATGAGAGACTAAAATGATTACTGAATGGAAATTTTATTCATAATTCATATACATGGGCATTACTGATAACCTTGTACTTCAATCGGACGAGAAACTAACTTCGGTGCTTCACAGAACATAAAATTTCAAAGAATATATATATATATATATATATATATATATATATATATATATAATATATATATATATATAAAACAAAATAGTGTAAAAAGAAAAAATATAAAATGAAAAGCAAAATAAAGAGAAAAAAATTTATTCCAAGTAAAATCTTTGTTTAGAACAAAATCAAAATATTGATATGAATAATTCCAGCTACAACCGCCTATTGTCTGGTTTACTCTCTCCTCCTCCCACAGTCTTTTGAACAAGAGTAGCGGTTTATTCCTTTTATCCTGTTTAGGATTAGGTTTCTGGTTCCTTCTCATAAACTCTTCTCATTCTTTTTCACTCCCAGTAACCCCTTGCATCTTAGTGTTTTTATTGCCTTGCTAGAAATGAACTGATAAAAAAACAAAAAAAAAACAGCGAACTAAGCCTGAAAGGTGGTGTCTTAAATTGCCTGACATTTTTCATAATTGCTTATCCATGTATTTAGTCAAGGGAGGATGATTTTGAGGATTCTGTTTAACTTTATATTTAATATCTTGGAATTGAGAGATTTTTAACCTTTGAAATTTTGTACATTCAACCTATTCAAGAAAGCCATTATAAATAATAATGAAAGACTCTAGGTGTCCCAGTTTTTTCCAGGGCATCCTAAAATGAGAAAATGCTTTTTGAAAAGTGAGATTTTTGGAATTTATCAATCTTGTAACAGCTATTACAACAGTTTCAGGTAATTAAGCCAATTATATTCTGAAAGTAGACATAAATGTCGGTTAGACATTCAAAATTCAGAAGATATTTAGATCTGGAATTATTGATCATTGAATAGTGGCCTAAGGCTTAAATCTGACATGTTAATCCCAGAAATCTAATGTTGGACCATTTTATTTCAAAAAATTATTTTTTGAAAATAATAACAGAACAAATGCACCATTTCCAAAGGATCCAACATTGGATTTTCACACATTTATCCATAATTCTACTATATACTTGATTTTTCCATGTAATTGTACTGCTGGAATTTAAGATTTAGTTTATTGCTTATTCTAGAGGCAAATGATATTGTGTTGAAACCATTTCTATCTGAAAATCCATGTTCTTTTGATATTATTTTTTTTTTAAATGGGGGGGGGTGCCTCATTGGATTACAGGTCATACTTAGATGGGCATGCCCCCAGTTTCATTCTCTATCTGTTAAATACCATTCTCAGGAACCATCATTCAGTCTGTATACACATATTTAACTTCCACATATAAATTTCAGCTTTTGAAGGAGGTTCTAGAAAGACTTTCCTTTCCAATTGCTTCCCTTGCAGAAAAGCTGTATTGATATTCATCAAATGACATGTCCACCTGAAAACAGTAATGATGATCAGAATAATTTGTAGGCTCTCCTTTGAGCAACTAGGTGAGTCACTTCTAACCAATTCTGAATCTCTGTCTTAAAACCCTTTTGCAACTATTCTTGCCTTGATTATAACTCCATCTTTTTTTGGCGCAAATCCATTTTGTTTTAATTCTATTTTAACCCAAATCTGATACAACAGAATACACGGTTATCAAACCAGCTATTTAATTCCTTCTCTTTTGCTTCAGTATATTCTACATTATTAACTGTTGAGAGTAAGGTAACTTCTTCATGGTCATTGTCTACTGAAAATTCCTTTTCAGGAGGATCATTCTAATAAGAGCCTACCTGCAGTTTTCCTTTTCATCATCAGAAACGTCTTTCCACTCTACCACATTATTCTCAATCAAGTCAAAACAGATCTATACCCTCATCACAAATATTGATAAGAGTTTTGTTCTAGCCAGTACCTTTCCAGCATGATTAATAATTTTCATCTTTTTCCAAGAGGGATCATTGTCCGATGCCACTTTGCACATTATCTCTTGCTCTGTTCTTTATAAAATTACACCATTTTCCGTAACAAATATTTGTTTTTTGATAGGCATCCAGCTTTTATTGACTCTTGAATCATAGAAGGATTAATATCATTTCTTTTATCTGATAAGTTATTATCTGCAGTATCTTCAAAATCTGTAGACAAACTATCCATAAATCAGCTTTCAAAATGTCTATGTTAGACTGGCTTTCATCAGTTGTTGATCCATTCAATTCTTCATGTAAATCATTATTATATATCTGCAGGCACCAAGGATTGACTAAAATAGCTTCCTCTATGTTTCACCAAAACTTGCTTGTTTTCAGTTCCTTTAACTGTTCATAGTCCCATCCAAAAATTTGATTTGTTCCTCTTGAAACATACAAGATTTCCATTTCTATATTAAAAGCAGTACTGGCTTTAATCTTTTGGTGCAAAGCTTTTCTGATCTTTCAATTCACTTCTGTATGAAAGACTTTCTTGCTGCATGCATAGCATTTCAAGTTGTTAGCTACTGCTTCACTTGATGTAAAACTGAAATACATCAATAATTTCTGAACTTTCTTTTGACTTTATTTTAGATGATACACTGTATCTGATAAAATGATCTGTTAAATGAAGAATTTTAGTTCCTTTAATCTCTTTAATGTCCATAGACACCATTTCATTAAAGTATTTTGATAAAGAAAAACCAACAATGGGCTTCGGTTGTACTCTCTTGTATTTTAGGCATATGTCACAATATGTGGCTGAATGGTTAGAATGTTCACATTCTGACCATGAGACCCAGGTTCGAATCTTACACTGGTCAATTTGTCAGAAAGGAGACTTCCTGATGTTATCAGACTGGAGGGGTCAATCCCAGTGTGCTGCACCTTTGGAAAGTACCTGAAAACCATACCACAGGTTGACCCAAACCATGTGAGCGAAATTGTGTAGACGGAACCCTTGGGGGGGAGCATCGATAGCTACGCTAGCATGAAGTCACAAGTCATCTTGGCCGAGGGCTTGAGCATGCTGGCCTTGTTCAAATTGTTTATCACGCTAGATAACATGCTCTTTCCCAGAAACTGTAACTTAGGTCTGCTCAGCATAGCTGCAGTATAATCCACAGGTGGGCTCTGTGGGTGTTGAATAAACACAAATGCACCTGAGCAAGTGTCTGCAATAGGGATTGGCTAGCTGACCTAGTAGTTGAATACGAGTGGCCAGTTATACATACAATTGTAGATAATTTTCTGTGTCATAAGTTCAATATACAACAACTACATCTTTCAAGAGAGTTGCTATTTTCTCATAAGTGAGATGATTAAATTGCTTGGGAAGTTTTTCTGCTACTTTTCTTTTTTCTACAACAGACTTATTTTCAATATCCCTAATGCTCATCAGGACAACATGATTTTATTCTTTTTTAGATCGAGTGACAAGACAGATATTAGTGCAGTGAAGTTGCAACTTTTGACCAAATATTAGACGCACTATCACTGAACATCCAGAACAGTATTTGATTTCTTCATAACATCTCTATTCAATAAAAGTATTTCAGACTATTATATCAGCAGCAATTTCAGTATTTTTAGACACACTATCACTGAACATCCAGAACAGTATTTGATTTCTTCATAACATCTCTATTCAATAAAAGTATTTCAGACTATTATATCAGCAGCAATTTCAGTATTTTTCCTGCTAATATATACAAGGTAGCTCCACATTGAAGATAGACTTCAAGTTTTGGGCATTTCCAAATCTAAATTTAACTTTACTATCCTCTACTTTCATGTTTCTTTTGACTAAGAATCTGGGTAACAATTATACCAAGTCAAACTATACACTGACCTGGAGCAACCTAGTTCCAAAACTGTGCCACCAATAGTGTCTCATAAGAGTGTATTATCGCTAGGGTTATTGCAACAATGTTTGCTTCGAATACATCTTCCTAATTTTCTTTGTTGGTAATTTTTAGCCTGGTGCATGGTAAATCCACAAATAGCATATTTAGAGAGTTTACCATCAGGTCTAAGAGGATTTTGTTTCTTGGTTTTATTCTGATAGTTGGTACAACTTCTACTTTCTCTATTTGATCTATCACCTCTACAGGTATTACCTCTCAATCCTCTACCACAATAATACTTCTGTTGATTTTGGTGACATGACCTATACCTCCTCTGTCTGCACATCTTGATTCCCATCCAAAGATTGAGCAAAGTTCACATCTGCTGGTTTAAACTTTATTTGATTGATTGCTGGAGAGGAAGTACTCATTAAAGTCACCTTTTTTTTTTTTTTTGAATCATCATTTCATTAAGTGTTATATTTCTAATAGTAGCCATTATTAATTCTTCATTGTCGTCCTCAAGACTGGTAATCTTTAGGGTTCTGTAAATCAATGCAGCATCAGGTAATTTAATTTCATGTTCACTGAGTTGCTGAACCATAATGATTAAATTCTATATTGAAATCAGCAATGGTCATATTCTGTGGTTTGATATACTTTTCAAAATTCAGCTTTTCATACAATAATTTTATTCTGTCCTCTGTATTTTTCAGTTTTCATTTATACCACCACTTAAACTCAAAAAACAGTTGGAGCCTTTTTCTTGGCATCAATATTTGGCACCATTTCCTAGAACTTCATTTCTTTTTTCCAAGCAGCATATTTTTATGGGACAAGCCCTGGTGGGGCTAAAAATTTATTATTGGTAGCCATTTTTCTTTTACTAAACTATGTTCTGCTACCAGAAGTGTTTAACCTGTGAAATTGTCCAGCATAGATTCCAGAGGTAAATTAACCTGTTCTCCCCTGAACAAATTGTTAAAAGTTCTTATGGAAAAGAGTGGAATCATTTTTAATTAGCAGGTAGGACAGGGTAATTAAACAATATTTGTTAGCCAAGGAA